CCGCTCCTGGCCGGCCCACCTCCCCGTCGGTCCCCGCGGCAAGGCCCGGGGCTCCCCCGGGTCCCCCGACCCGGGCGCAGGTGAGAAACCGGAGGGCGCGCTGGGGGAGGGGCCGGGCCGGAGGGCGGAGCAGTTTGGGAAACGGCGAGCGTGTAACCGGAAGGGGCTCCTTAAAGGGGAGGCCGCTGTCTGGCCTCCGATTCCGGTGCGCTGCGGCGGCTCCACCTCTTAAAGGGCGAGGGGCTGCGTTTAGAGGGCGTGGCGAGGTGCACCTTTCTCGGAGCTTCCCGCCTTACCCCCCTCCCCGGGGGGTATTTCACCGAAGGCCAGGGGCAGTTTCCCGGACATCGAGCAAAACTGCGAGCGTTGGTCGCGCAGTGCGACCCCTGGCTTGTCTGAACGGAGGCGGAGAGGGTGTGCGGCGGGCGCATCCTCTTAAAGGGGCCGCGCAGCCTGCTCCAGGCCTGGGGTGGGCCCTCGCCGCTCCGGGGCGCGGGCGCCTCGGTCTAAGGCGACGCCCGCCTCGCAGAGGCAGTGCAGATCCTTGGGGTGATGTCAGTGTCGTCCGAGGAGCTGCTCACCCTTGAGAGGGAGGCCCGTCTTTTAAAGGAAAAGCCCGCGCAGCCTGTCCGGAGGGGCTGCGCCCTGTCTTCCTCGAGTGTTCACAGCGCACACGCCCGCCCGGCGCTCCGTGGGGCCGGGGTGCGGCCGTGGACACAGCGAAGGCCCGCTGCATGGCGTCGACGTTCAGCCCGGGGAGGCAGTCGGACAGGGGGCCGTGTGGCAGCACTTGTCTCTTGGGGGCCATGCTGCTCTCCGGGGGTGACACTGCAGGGGCGCACAGAGGGCTTTCCAGGCAAGGCGCAGGCTGCGACTGCCACACCGCGGGGGTGTGGGTCGACACTGCGGGGACACTGCGCAACACGGGAAAGCAGGCGACCCCACCGACACAGAAGGGCCTGCTCCGAGCCCGAGCCCTGGCTGTGCCGCGCTAGCCTGTCACAGGCGCAGTGGAGAGCGTTGGACAGCGCACGGAGTGCTGGGAGGGCCGCAGAGCCAGGCAGGCGCCGGGGAGGCCTGGCTGGGTGGCTCCCGGGGCAGACTGGGTAGCCGAGGGCGTGCAGGGCGGGGCGCAGCCTGTCTTGCTGGGTTCGGAGGCAGCGGGACAAGTCAGGAAGAGACGAGCTGTCGGCCCGGGAAGCCAGAAGCTGCCCCGAATGGGGTCTGCGGCAGGCTCGGGGGAGGATGTCCTGTGCTCTCTCCTGACGGTCCCTTCGGCTGCTGCATTGGGGACAGACAGGGTGGGGACACGGGGATCTGTTAGGGAGACACTGCGGCTGCCCAGGGCGGACATGGCAGTGCCCTGGACAGAGGCCGGGCCTGTGAGAAGTGCCCAGCTTCTGACCCCAACCCCCCGGAACCCAGGGATCTCCTGTTGCTTGGTTGTGCAGAGAGCAGTGGGCAGGGCCTTTGGCCAGAGGAAGGACAGACCTCCCGTTTTCAGGGAAGACTGGGCGAGGAGGGTTTTACATTTTTGCTAGGGAGGCACAGAATCAGAAAACTCACCTAGCTTTTCGCCACAGCACGGTTGAAGTGGGTGCCATTATGGATGCTGGGCCGTGGCAGCAGGGAGCCGCTCTGTTCCAAAGGGGTAGACGTAAGGAAAGCCAGGGCTGCGTGGGGAACGGGACCTGGACTGTAGTTTGTTTGTTCTTGGTGCTGGGGACCGGACTCAGGGAGTGGTGCATTGTGGGAAGCTCTCTACTACTAAGTTACATCCTCAGCCCTTTATACTTTCAGGTCTTACTGAATTGCGAGGCTGGGCTCAAACTTTCCCTCTGGCTTCAGCTTCCAGAGTAGCTAGGATCACAGGCATGGGCCACACCCAGAATTCTTCTGAGAAGATGTGGGTGTGGTGAGGAGACCCCAAGAGATCTTGGGAAGCTTGAGGTTATGGGGGGACCTCCGGGGCAAGCCCGTGGGAAGATGGTGCAGTTTCTCATCCACTTTGGACTGGCTTCTCCCGAGGGGCACTGTCTTGTGCACTGCCCAGTGTGGAGAAGTGTCCTTGAGCTCCTCCCTCCAGGTCACAGTATCTCTGCACCTCTAGCTGACAGAGAAGCGTTTCCAGGCATGACCTCCTATCCCTGGGGTGTGGGCAGTTATGCCAGCGGAGCCACTGGTGTTACAGGAATGTTATAACACACTTCTGATTGCTTTCACTTTCTCAGTGACTGGCGTGGGCGCCATGGGTCACCACCCCTGCTTTAGAGTGAGGTGGGGAACAAGTGTTGAGGTGGGGTTGGGGTGAAGGTCTTTTTAAAAATCTTCAAAAATTGTTTTGGTTTTTTGAGACAGGGTGTCACTGTGTAGTCCAGGGTGGCTTTGCACTCCCTATTAGCCCAGGCTGGCCTTGAACTCAAGACCCTCCGGCTTCAGCCTCCTGAGTGCAGGATCACAGGTGTGCAATGCCATGCCCACCAGGGGAGGTGTTGAGGACAGTGGGTACGGGAGGAAGCAGGTGCTGTAAGAGAGGCAGTCCTCTTAAAGGGCAGCCCAGCCTTCTCAGAGGGCCTGCGGGGGGATGGCAGGGGTCCGAGGGCCAGAGCAGCCCCGTCCTGTTTGCTGGGAAGTGTTGCTTATGCCCTGAAAGTCTCCGGGCCACGCCCCTCCTCTGCCTCAGGCAAAGGGGAAACCTGGGCCTCGAAACCCCACTCCTAAGGCAGGTCCCCCGTGGTGAAGATGACCCAGGGAAGTGACCCGGGCAGCCCACCCTGACCCGGACTCCCTGCCTCCAGGTGTGATGGTCGGCTCCCAAGCAGACATGGCACCCGCCTCCACTGCCGAGGGCCCTGGGGAGAAGCCGGCGCCCGCAGCCCCCGCGCCAGCAGCCCAGTACGAGTGCGGAGAGTGCGGCAAATCCTTCCGCTGGTCGTCAAGGCTTCTGCATCACCAGCGCACGCACACGGGGGAGCGGCCCTACAAGTGCCCGGACTGCCCCAAGGCCTTCAAGGGCTCCTCCGCACTGCTCTACCATCAGCGGGGCCACACGGGCGAGCGGCCCTACCAGTGCCCCGACTGCCCCAAGGCCTTCAAGCGCTCGTCGCTGCTGCAGATCCACCGCAGCGTGCACACCGGCCTGCGCGCCTTCACCTGCGGCCAGTGCGGCCTGGCCTTCAAGTGGTCCTCACACTACCAGTACCACCTGCGGCAGCACACGGGCGAGCGGCCCTACCCGTGCCCGGACTGCCCCAAGGCCTTCAAGAACTCCTCCAGCCTGCGGCGCCACCGGCACGTGCACACGGGCGAGCGGCCCTACGCGTGCGGCGTGTGTGGCAAGAGCTTCGCGCAGACCTCCAACCTGCGGCAGCACCAGCGCGTGCACACGGGCGAGCGCCCCTTCCGCTGCGCGCTCTGCCCCAAGACCTTCACGCACTCGTCCAACCTGCTGCTGCACCAGCGCACGCACTCGGCCGAGCGCCCCTTTGCCTGCCCTGTGTGTGGCCGCGGCTTTGTCATGGCCGCCTACCTGCAGCGGCACATGAGGACGCACGCCCCGGCCCAGGCGCCCTCTGGCACCACAGCCCCCGCTGCTGGCGCCCAGCCCCCCGCCCCGTTGGCCGCCGCTCCTGCCCCGCTGGCCACCCAGGATGTCCATGTGCTCCCCCACCTCCAGGCCACACTTTCCCTCGAGGTGGCGGGGGGCACGGCTCAGGTGCCGCCAGCAGGCCCAGCGGCACCCAACTCCCAGACCTTTCTCCTGGTGCAGACAGCCCAGGGCCTCCAGCTGATCCCCAGCAGTGTCCAGCCGCCACCCCCTCCACCCCCACCTGCACCCCCTAAGCTCATCCTTGTGCCCTCCACAGGTGCTGGGGCCGGCCAAGCCAGGCAGGGCCCTCGGGCTGTGGGAAAGGCTGGTCAGGGCACGGGTATAGTGTGGCTGCCGGGGCCTGGGGGTCTAGGGGTACAGGGAGGGGGTGGTGCAGGGGCCGGTGGGGGAGGGCAGAGCCTCATTGTCCTGCAGAATGTAGGGAGTGGGGACACGGGGCCTCAGGAAGTTAGTGGGGTCCAGCTCCAGCCGGCCCAGGAAGTGACCACGGTCCAGCTCCAGCCAGCCCAGGAAGTGACCACGGTCCAGCTCCAGCCAGCCCAGGAAGTGACTACGGTCCAGCTCCAGCCACTGACAGGCCAGCTGTCTAGCTCCAGTGGAGGAGCGGTGACTGCTGAGGCCCCCAACCTGCTGGTGGTCCAGAGCGAGGCAACGGAGGAGCTGCTGGCAGCCCCGGGTCCTGGAGAGGCCGGGGACGGAGAGGCCAGCACGGGCATGGTGCAAGATGTGGTCTTTGAGACACTGCAGACGGAGGAGGGGCTGCAGAGTGTGCTGGTGCTGAGCGGGGCAGATGGGGAGCAGACGCGGCTCTGTGTGCAGGAGGTGGAGACCCTGCCCTCTGAGCTGACGGAGCCGCCTGCCTCTGCCTCCCCGGGACAGAAACTGCTCATCATCCGCAGCGCCCCTGCCGCTGAGCTGCTGGAGACCAGCAGTGTGGGGGGAGGCACTGCCACACTGCAGCTCCTGGCCCCTCCGGCCCCTGGCCCAGGCTCTGCCCCGGCGGCGGTACCCGCAGCCCCTGGGCCCCAGGTGGTACAAGTGGTGCCTGCAGGAGCCGGGCCGGGGGTCGTGAGTCCTCAGGCCCTGCCCTCCATCCAGATTGTGCAGACGCTGCCCGCTGTCCAGCTGGTGCACACGTTTTGAGGAGACCCCCTCAATACGGAGGCTCCAACTCACTGCCTTTGGCCCGGCTGGGGTCTGCCCCCCGGAAGGAGACTGCTAATAAAGTCTCAGAATCTCTTCTCTTTTGCCTTTTTTTGGGGGGATGGGGGGAAGGAGCACAGGCATGGGAGGGCCCCGCCTGGGCGTGTGGAGTCTAATCTTGCTTCCTGGCTCGCAGGCCACTTGCTTGGATCGGAATCTCGGGGCCAACCACTTCCGCGGGGCTCACTTGCCCTGTCCCGTAGACGGGGGTTGTGGTGTGTGCCACGGTTACCGTGGCGGCAAGGCACTGGGCTTGGAATCCCCGCTCTGGCGCTTGGGCGCGCTAGTCACCACGCCCCTGCCCTAATCTGAGGAACGGGTGGGAGCAGAGTCTTGTCTCAAAGGACACCCATCCCAGGTGCAGCGGGGTCGGGTGCAGGTCCCTGGGGATGGACGCCGAGCCCTGCACAAAGGTCCAGGCGCCAAGGACGCTCGGCCCACCACTTCGCCACCTCCTCCCCGCGCTCGGGTCGCAGGGCCTTCTTGGCCGGTAAGTACCGCTCCCGCCCCTCTGAGGTGCGCCGCCTCCAGCGGCAGGAGAGGTCCCGCGGCCGCCGCGCGCGGGTGCCTCCTGGCCAGCTCCCGGCTGGGGAAGCTTGGCAACAGTTGCTAGGGCCGAGAGCGCAGCCCCGCCTCCGTGCGCGAGTGGGCACGTCACTTCCGCCGGCGACCCCCTCCCGACCCTGCGTTTCCCACACCTTGTCAAAGGATCGGGCGACCTCGGAGGTGCTCGCGGGCTCGGCCTCTGCGCCGCGGGCGGCGGCCAGCGCGGGAGTGGGGCCGTGCGCGGGCGGGAGCGTGGAGGGGTCATGGGTCCCGGCGCTGGGGCGGTGCTGCGAGGTGTCAAACCCGCAGCGTGTTTGGGGAGACCGGCCTGGGCGCAGGGAGGGGACGGAGACAGGGGAGTCGCCGGATAGGGGGACCCATCTCGCCACCATCGAAGGTGGCGCGACTGGAAAATCCCGTGCGGGGCCTTGGGAACCGAGGTGCCACCTGACACTAACCTGCCTGTGTTCCCCAGGTGCCGTCAGCTCCCTCGCGGGGGCGGCAGCCTCGGGGCTGCCATGGCCCCCAGCCACCTGTCCGTGCGCGAGATGCGGGAAGATGAGAAGCCCCTGGTGCTGGAAATGCTGAAGGTGAGCATGGGGGCGCGGCAGGTGGGCTCAGCCACGCCCCGTCCGGCCCCGACCCCCACACCACGGACCTTGCCCTCCTGGGCTCCTTCCCTGTGGCTCCTCTGTCCGCGTCCCCTCCCTGCCTGCACCCCAGCACACTGGGCTTGAGCAGCTCGAGGGCTGTGCGGCTGGGAGCTTGGCTCCTCGGCCCTGGGGTCAGGGTGCCAGTTCCCTCCCGGTCCGCCCCGCCGTCGGTGAACAGCCGCCCCTGCCTCCCACGCCCTCCCCTGAGCCAGGCCGATGGCCTCGGGTTCCCCACTGTCCAAGGGTCACTTCCTTGGCCCCTCACTGTGGGCGCCCCACGGCTCCTGACTCTCTCCCTGCTCAGCCGTCCCGTGCCGCCCGCCCACACCCCGTGGGCCTCTGGCCTTCCCTGCGGCTCTCCTCTGGCCCTCGCCCTGGGGGTGCCGGCGGCCGGCAGTGCTGACCTGCTCCCCCGCCTGCAGGCTGGCGTGAAGGACACGGAAAACCGCGTGGCTCTCCACGCTCTCACTCGGCCCCCAGCCCTGCTGCTCCTGGCCGCGGCCAGCAGTGGCCTGCGCTTCGTCCTGGCCTCCTTCGCCCTGGCCCTCCTGCTGCCCGTGTTCCTGGCCGTGGCTGCTGTGAAGCTGGGCCTGCGAGCCCGGTGGGGCTCTCTGCCTCCGCCTGGTGGCCTGGGGGGCCCCTGGGTGGCTGTGCGGGGCTCTGGGGATGTGTGTGGGGTCCTGGCCCTGGCCCCTGGCGCCACCTCAGGGGATGGAGCCCGGGTCACTCGCCTCTCTGTCTCTCGCTGGCACCGCCGCCGGGGTGTGGGCAGGAGGCTGCTGGCCTTTGCCGAGGCCCGGGCCCGAGCCTGGGCAGGCGGCATGGGGGAGCCTCGGGCCCGGCTCGTAGTCCCCGTGGCCGTGGCCGCATGGGGGGCGGTAGGGCTGCTGGAGGGCTGCGGCTATCAGGCCGAGGGGGGCTGGGGCTGCATGGGCTACACCCTGGTGAGGGAGTTCAGCAAAGACCTGTGACTTAAGTGGGGTGGAAGCGCGGGGAGGCAGCGCCCAGCGAGCCCGCGGCCAGCGCCTGCTGTGTGCCCCCGCACCGCTGCGGCCTGCCCAGGGCACAGCAGGCCGAGGACAGAGACCTGCACGCGTGCTGCCCATCCTGCTGCGGGCCGGCGGCCGTGCTCCCGGCGTGCTGTGTGCAGCAGGAACTCAGAGTGTGCAGAAGGCCCTCTCCCTCCCGGCTCCCAGAGATGCCCCCGGGTCCCTCTAAACGGATGTCTCCCTGGTCTGTGAGGCCGGGCCTTCCAGGAGTAGAGGGAGATACTCAGGGCAGGCCAGGGGCTGAGCTTTCCTTTGCAGCCGGCTGCGGGGGTCCAGACCTCCCTGGGAGCTGGGCGGGGCTGGCAGGCACAGGGCCCAGCCCCATCTGGTTTTTTTACACCCATTTGTTAAATAAAGCTTGGAACCGCTGTGCTGTCTCATCTCTGATGCCTTTTCCACATCCCTGACCCCCTCCGCCCTCCCCGCCGTCCTGTCTGGCTCCTCCTCTCCGAGTTGACAGTAACTGCTGGAGTGGAGGCAGGCGGGAGCTCGTGAGCTCATGGGCCGCCAGGCCCTGCCAGGCCTTCTGAGTCACGCTCCCCATTACCGAATTTTTTCCTCACAGCTGGCTGGTGTGGAGCGTGTGTGTGTGTGTGTGTGTGTGTGTGTGTGTGTGCAGCCCCCTCCCCCAGCCTTGACCCTTGGTCGTCCCACCTTCCTTTCTGGGGACTTGAGTTCCGCCACTCCTCTGTGGGGACCCCGGGGCTTCATGCAAGCCTCCAGCCTGGTGGGTGTCTACAGGGAGGGCTCTCTGGCTCCTGATGAGAAGTCTCCCTGCTGCTGCTCCCCACCGTGCTTCCCTGGCTGGACGAGAAGTGGGTAGAGGCCTGGCCCTCCCCGGCATCTCCCAGCTCTGGGACGCGGCTGGAGCCCGCTGGCCGACTCCCCTCCAGTGGGTGTTTGCAGTCGGACACCTCCCTCCTCCCAGGCCTCGGCCTGGCCCGGCCAGCCCCTCCCCACCCCGGCCCGCGCCTCCCCAGCCTCTCCGTCCTGGCACGGCCTCGGCCCTGCCTGCTCCTCCGTGGTCCCGGGCGCCTTGCTGGGCGCTGCCTCCTCCTCCTCCTCCTCCCCTTTTCGCCCCAGCCCTGCCCTGGACTCTGCACCCATGAGGGTCCTGGCCTGCCTCCTTGGTGAGTGGCCCAGACTGACCCCTGGCTCCCAACTTCTGGGAGCTGGCCCTGGTGCTTTGGGACACTCTGACGTCTGGCTGCCCGCCGGTCCCTGGGACCCAGCCTTCTGCGTGCCCTGTCCCCGCCTCTTAGCATTCGAGGGACCTGACCCTGGGGCCCCCGCCATCCAACCTGGGCCCCAGCCCAACTTCAGGGCTCCCTGGGCAGGGCTGTGTCTCCCCCAGCCCTCAGTGTGGGGCACGCAGAGCGGGGAGGCGTCTGTGCCTCCCTCACTGTCTACCTCCTCCTTGCAGCAGCTCTGCTGGGGATCCAGGCCGTGGGTAAGTGTCCCTGTCCTCCCCTGCCCGCCCCCCTCCCCGGCCTCGTGCTGCCCCCCTGCCGGGTCCCTGGCTGCCCCTGCTCTGCTGTGACCTCGCCTGCTGCTCTCAGCCCCCGGGGCCACGTCTGTGGACACTCTCCCCTCTGAGCCCCCCGAGGTCAGCACGCGGGTGTCCTGATGGCATCTTGTGGTGTCACCCCGGCCCTCCTGTCACCCAGTCCCTGGCCTCGCCAGTGCCCCAGCAGGGACCACACCTCTCCTCCCACCCCCAGAGCGGCTGCGCCTGGCCGACGGCCCCCACGGCTGTGCTGGCCGCCTGGAGGTCTGGTATGGCGGACGCTGGGGCACCGTGTGTGACGACGGCTGGGACCTCCGGGACGCCACGGTGGCCTGCCGCGAGCTGGGCTGCGGGGGGGCGCTGGCCGCTCCCGGGGGCGCCTTCTTTGGGGAGGGCACGGGGCCCGTGTGGCTCAGCGAGCTGGCCTGCCAGGGCCGCGAGGGGCGGCTGGGCCTCTGTCCCCACCGGGGCTGGAAGGCCCACATCTGCTCGCACGAGGAGGACGCGGGCGTGGTCTGCGCAGGTAAGGCCACGCTCCACCCTCCTGCAGGGGGCACCCCAGAGCCCAAGTGCTTACTTCCCCTAAGTCTCAGTGGCTCGGCAGCCCAGGCTGGGGCGGCCCTGTGCCTGTCAGGGACAGTCAGTGACCACACTCCGGTCACCCTCTCTGCAGGCCAGCGGGTGGCAGACTCCCGGGATGACTCAACCTCCCCGCTGGTTGGGGAACTGTGGCCGGGGCTGTCTGCAGAGCTGAGCCCTGCCTCCGAGGAGCCCCCCATGACTCACGGTGAGCCCCGAGGCGGGCTGCCCACCCCGCCCACCTCGGCCGCCGGAGAGGGCCGGAGCGGGCCGGTGTGCACGGACCTCCCGGCAGAAGACGGGTTCCCACAGGTTGCCTTTCTGGCCCTGGATGACAGGCAGGATGAGCGGCTTGGCTCATCCTGACCTGTGGCCCTCTCCTCCCCAGCCCCCCGCCCAGCTGGGAGCCCCCAGAACAGCCCCCGGAAGAAAAGCCCCCGGCCGCCCAAGCAGACCAAGTCCACCCGAGCCCCTCTGCTGACGACTGGGGCCCCCCGCCAAGGTAAGCATCCTTAGGCCTCTGCCCCCAAATGTGGAGGCTGCAAAAGGCTTAGTCCCACCGACCTGAGGACGGGGTGCTGCTCTCCACCTGGGCTCCGGAGGACTCAGGGTCAGCCCTGCCCCCTATTCCCTCCCTCCCGCCTTCCCTCAGACCGGCTGCGCCTGGTTTCGGGGCCCCACGGCTGTGCTGGCCGCCTGGAGGTCTGGCATGGTGGCCGCTGGGGCACGGTGTGTGACGACGGCTGGGATCTCCGGGACGCCACGGTGGCCTGCCGCGAGCTGGGCTGCGGGGGCGCGCTGGCCGCCCCTGGGGGTGCCAGATTCGGGCCCGGCTTGGGGCCCGTGTGGATGGACGATGTGGGGTGTGGTGGCGGCGAGCAGGCCCTCCGGGACTGTCCCCGAAGCCCCTGGGGCCGGAGCAACTGTGACCACAGCGAGGACGCGGGGCTGGTCTGCACGGGTACGTCGGGCCGGGCGCTAGCCTCCCTCCTGCCTCCCTCAGCCCAGCTGCCCCGCTCCCTCTAGGCCGCTACTGAGGGCTGCTCTGCCTCCCCACCCCATTCTGCACAGTGGCAGCCGCCGTCCTCCTCAGGCAGGTGTGCTTCCCCGAGGGGTGGGGCTGGGGGTGCCCGCAGCTCCTCTGTCCCTCTGCTGGCCAGCCCCTCCTGGCTCCTCAGGCAGGTGTGCTTCCCCGAGGGGTGGGGCTGGGGGTGCCGGCAGCTCCTCTGTCCCTCTGCTGGCCAGCCCCTCCTGGCTCCTCAGGCAGGTGTGCTTCCCCGAGGGGTGGGGCTGGGGGTGCCGGCAGCTCCTCTGTCCCTCTGCTGGCCAGCCCCTCCTGGCTCCTCAGGCAGGTGTGCTTCCCCGAGGGGTGGGGCTGGGGGTGCCGGCAGCTCCTCTGTCCCTCTGCTGGCCAGCCCCTCCTGGCTCCCTGGTCCTGTGTCTCTGCGGGCCAACGAGGGACCTGAGGCGGGAAGAAGGGAAAGGGGAGGGGCTGTGTGGAGGGAGGCTGAGGCAGGCGCGGGCACTGGCTGGGAGCCTGTTACCGAATTCCACTGCCGACATGGTGTCTAGCTGTCCCCGGGGCCTCTGCTCTCTGACAGGGCTGGGACCGAGGCAGAGGCTGGGGCCCCTTCACCGGTCACTTCCTCCGTCCCTTAGCTCTCGGTGCCAGGGCCCTGAGGTCCAGCGCAGGCCTGCTCTGTCCCGCCCTCCTGCCCTCCTGCTGCCCCTCCCCTCGTCCTCTCCCCAGGCCCTGCCCCGAGGCTGCGCCTGGCCGACGGGCCCCACGGCTGTGCCGGCCGCCTGGAGGTCTGGCAGGGCGGGCGCTGGGGGTCGGTGTGTGACGACGCCTGGGACTTGCGTGACGCCGCCGTGGCCTGCCGGGAGCTGGGCTGCGGGGCGGCGCTGGCTGCTCCAGGGGGCGCCTTCTTTGGGGAGGGCTCTGGCCCCATCATCCTGGATGACCTCCGGTGTTTGGGAAACGAGACAGCCTTGCGGTTCTGCCCTGCGCGGCCCTGGGGCCAGCATGACTGTCACCATCGCGAGGATGCTGGGGCTGTGTGTGACGGTGAGGGGGGGAGCAGGGTGGGAGGGGGCGGTGGCACCGGAGTCCGGGACAAAGGTTGGAGGTGCAGGTCTCCCCACTCTGCCCGCACGCACTGTTCAGGCTTCCCACCTCCCCAGCTTCTCCTCGGATGGAACCTCCGTCCGCATCTGTTATTCTCAGTGGGGAAAGTTCCGTCCTTCCAGGGGGCACTGGGCAGTGCCTGGAGACATTTTGATGGTCACAAGTGGGGCTGGCAGAGTTGTCAGTGCTAGGAGTTAGAGGTCAGGGACAGAGCACAGGATGTCACCCCCACCCAGACACAGAATGACCCGGTCCAGGTGTCAGTGGTGCTAACGTAGCCTCAGCCTCGTCACAGCCCCCACTGGGCCGGCCCCCTCGGCCTCTTCATGGGGTCAGGGCCCCCGGTCCCTTTGAGCCCTAAACTCACCCACCTCTGCTTCCCTACTGCTTCATGCCCACCCCAGCCTGGTCTCCGGTCTCCCGGGTCGGGTAGTGGAAGCAGAGGAGGCTGTGCGGAAGGGGTGGGACAGGAATCTCTTCTTCCCGGCCCAGGCATGCCCCTCGGCTATGTGGCCTCCACAGCCCCCGCAGGGGACCGAAACAGCTCGGCATCCGGGGAGGCAGCCCCCGGATCCTCCCCCAGCACCTCGAGCCGGGCTCCAGGGACCGCAGGCAGCTCGCCTCCTCCAGCCTCTCCTACTGCCGCACGAGAGCCGGGCCCAGATGCGGGTGAGTCCCTTCCAGCCCCGGCCGAGTCTGTTCCTGGGGGGCCCTCTTGCAAGGGGAGGCGGGAAGAGGAGCGGGGCTCATGTCTCAGAAGGATGCACCTTGGGGGCTGGGGATTTAGCTCAGCGGCAAAAGCACCTGCCTGGCAAGGGCAAGGTCATGAGTTCGGTACCGGAGAAAAACAAACAAACAAACAAACAAAAAAGAAGGATGCACCTTGTGTTCTTGCTCTCTGACTTCACCCTAAAATCCATAACCCTGTCTGAACCAGGGCCCCCTTCTGGAGCTGGGCCTGCGTACTGAATCCACTGTAGCAAGCTTCTGGCTTCCCGTGCCCCGCAGTGTGCCCACGCGACTGTCACAAGGCCCTTGGACCAGCTCCAAATATCAGCTCTGCTAATGAATCCATCTCGCCTTTTTGCCAGGGAGGCTTTCTGGTTCTGTTTTTGGTGTTGTTGAGAGAAGGTCTTGCTATGTAATTCAGACTGGGCTTGAGCTCACTGTGTTGCCCAGGCTGGCTTTGAACTCGCGGAGATCCTCCTGCCTCAGCCTTCTGAGTGCTGGGATTATAGGTCTGCGTCACCATACCCAGGCTGCTCCTTCTGCAAATGGGGGTAAATGGCCTCCTTCACACAGGTCTTAAAAGGACCAGATCAATGGTGCTTGTTGCTTTCAAATGTAGGCGCACCACGGCTCCAGCCTGGTGGTGTCAGAAAAGGAAACAACAGTGATGGAAGAGTCTGGTGCTCGAAGTTCCCAAGAGAAGGGGGCATGCCGAAGGACTCTAGGCGTCAGGCTGTCCGTGGTTGCCTGAAACCTGGCCCCGGGGTGATGAAGGCAGGCGTACAGTGGTCCTGTGTGTGACCACCCCGTAAGGAGGCAGCTGGGCGTGGGCTCTGGATCAGTTGGTGAGCACAGAAAGGTGTACTCCCGCCGGGGAGGCCAGTCCCTTCTGAGTCAGCCAGGCCCAGGTGTGAATCGTCCAATGAGAAGGTGAGAAGGCGTGGTTAGTAGGCTGTCCCTTCGGGGTTGGAAAGGCCGAACGGAAGTGGGGCTTGCTTTCTCCATGCTCACCACTGCTAGAGGCCTCTTCTCCTTCTCCTAAATAATAACAGCCAACATTTACTGAGCACTGGCTGGCTCCTGCGGCCTGTTGCACTGTAATCCAGGCAATGCTTGCACTCCCCATGCTACAAATGAGATGGCACAGCTGAAATCCAGTGGACTTTGTACTGGTTTGGATTTTTTTTGGGAACTGGGAATTGAACTCAGTACCTTGGGCTTGCCAGGCAGGCACTGTGCCGCTGAGCTGTATTCCCAGCCCTGCAGCTGAAATCCAAAAGCCAGAATCCAAGCAGAGGTGATCTGTCCCACAGCCCAAATATATCTTCTTTGGATTGTGGTACAATACAGTCACGCACCGCATGAGGACATTTTGGTTAACAGCAGGCTGCGCGTGCGGTGGTGGCCCATGAGATCATACTGCCTGGTGACACTGCAGCCATCCTGGTTTGTGGAAGTACACTCTATGACGTCGCATGATGACACTGCCTGGCAGTGCATTTCTTGGGATGTAGCCTAACGTTAAGCAATGCCTAACTGTATACACCACAGAAATTTAGTATTCTAACTATTTTTAAGTGTACTGAGCTCAGTGGTATTAATTGCATTTATACTGTTATGTAACTGTCACCACCAGTCATCTCCAGAACTTCTTGTCATCCCTCCACTGAAAATCTGTACCCATTAAGCACTAGTTGCTAGCAATCACCATTCTACTTTTCCACTTTCTCCTTTTTTTCTTTGTCCTTTTGAGACAGGGTCTCACTCTGCAGTTCAGGCTGGCCTTGAGCTCACTTTCTAGCCCAGGCTGTTCTCGAACTCTCAATGATCCTCCTGCCTCAGCCTCCCAAGTGCTGGGATTACAGGCGTGTGCCACAACATCCAGGCTGTTTTTTTGAGTCAGGGTCTCACCATGTAATCCAGTCTCCCAAGTGCTGGGGTTATAGGGGTGTACCCATACACCCACTTACCACTCCTCTTTCTCTCTGTGTGTGAATTCGACTGCTCAAGAGACCTCATATAAATGGAATTACATACTACTGTACTTGTCTTTCTGCAACAGGTTTATTTCTCTTACCATAATGTCCTTAAGGTTCACCCATGTTCTCACAAATGACTGCATTTCATTCTTTTTAAAGGCTGAATAGCCAAGCATGGTGGTACACACCTGTAATCCCAGCACTTGGGAGGTTGAGGCAGGAGGATCTTTGCGAGTTCAAGACCAGCCTGAGCTACATAGTGAGCTCAAGGCCAGCCTGAGCTGCATAGCAAGACCCTATCTCAAAAAGACAAAAAAAAGGGGCTGGGGATTTAGCTCAGCGGCAAAGCGCCTGCCTGGCAAGCGCAAGGTCGTGAGTTTGGCTCCCAGTATCGGAGAAAAACCAAAAAAAAAAAAAAAACCCCGAAGAAAAAAAGGCCGAATTGTGTTCTGTTGTATGTATATACGACCTTTTCATTATCCATTCCTCAGTTGATGGCCATTTAATTGTTTTCACATTTTAGTTATTATGAATAGGAGTGCTGATGTCTTTTTGAGATTCTACTGCTGTTTGGGATATATATCCAGAAGGGGGGTCGCTGGATCGTATGGCAGTTCTATTTTTAATCTTTGAAGGAGCCTTCAGAACGTACCATTTTGCGTTCCCACCAAAGTCTTCAAGGGTTCTAATTTCTCTACATCTCACTGACACTTGTTACCTTTTAGTGACCATCCTAACAGGTGTGAGGTGACGTTTGATTGTGCTTTGGATTTGCAATTCCCTGATGGGTAGTGAAAAATGGTTTTTCATACTCGTTGGTGCTTTGTATACTGTCTTTGATGAAGTGTCTGTTCAATGCCCAGTTTTAAAAGATTACTTTTTTTTAAACTATTGAGTTGTAGAAATTCCTTACAGATTTTAGAGACTAACCCCTTAAGAAATTTATGGTGTGTAGATATTTTCTTCCATTCTGTGGTTTCCTTTTTACGCTGCTGATTGTTTCCCTTGATGAGCAGAAGTGTTTTAGTTTGGTGTAGTCTTATTTTTGTTTCTGTTGCTTATGCTTTGGGGGCCGTATCTATGAAATCACTGCCAACATAAATATCACTTTTTGCGTACCTATTCGTACATGGGGAGACATTTAGGATATCTTGGAGTTATTGTGAAAAGTGCTGCTGAGAACATTTGCATGCAAATATATGTTTGAGTGCCTGCTTTCAATTTATTTTGGGTATATTCCTAGTAGTGGAATTTCTGGGACCATATGGTAATTCTATTTGGCTTTCTGAGGAACCACCCACCCAGGCCTGACTCTATCCCTTGTAGTCAGCGCAGACAGGGCAAGAAAAGACCTCAACAAATCCCTGCTGCTTAGCAGGCAGGAAGGAATGATGAAGGAGGGAAGGCCTAGATGGATGAATAGGTGGATACATAGGCAGGAAACAGAGGAAAGCCGGGCACAGTGGCACATGCCTGTAATCCCAGCACTCAGGAGGCTGAGGCAGGAGGATTACTGTGAGTTGGAGCCGGTGTGGGCTACAAAGTGAGTTCAAGGTCAGTCTGAACTACATAGCAAGATCCTTTATTAAAAGACCAAAAAGAAGAAAGAGAAGGAGGAAGACAACAAGGAGGAGGAGGAAGAGGAGGAAACAACAGAGGGAAAGGCAGATGAAAAGTTGAGAGCTGAATAGTTTCCGTTTCTAATTTTTTTTTAAGTAGAAGAGATTTATTTATTTATTCATGCATTTTAGAAGGACAGATTTATTTTGGTTCATGGTTTCCAAGGCTTCACTTTTCCCTCTCTAATTCTTTGCCTGTCTCCTACCTCAGGGTCTCCCCAGCTGCGCCTGGTGGCCGGGCCCAGCAGGTGCTCAGGCCGGCTGGAGGTGTGGCACGATGGGCGCTGGGGGACGGTGTGTGACGACAGCTGGGACACGCAGGACTCGGCCGTGGTCTGCCGGGAGCTGGGCTGTGGGGGGCCTCGGCAGCCGGATCCTGCTGCGGGCCGCTTCGGCTGGGGCGCCGGCCCCATTTGGCTGGATGATGTGGGCTGTGTGGGGACGGAGGCTTCGCTCGCTGATTGCCCTGCTGCTCCCTGGGGGAAACACAACTGCGCTCACAATGAGGACGTCGGCGTCACGTGCACTGGTAAGCATGCCCTTGCCACCTGCTAGCCCTAGGAGGGCTCCCTGGGGCAGGAACAGGAACAAGCACTGACATGAACAGCAAAGGAATGCTGGTGCCTAAGCCCCAGCCCTGTGCCGCTTTGCCACATGTGGCCACATTCCAACTTCACAAGTCTAGGTTGACGGATGTTTCGCCCATTTGACTGGTAAAGAGACTGAGGCACAGAGCAGTTGAGTAATTTGTCCAAAGTTGCACCAGATTCCCAGGGAAGCTTCCTCTTCCTCCTTCCAGGAATCAAAGTCTCCCACAAAGAAGTGGACGTAGAGTCCCTGGGAGACAGAGAAGCAAAGACAGCTGAAGCACTGCATGTGTTTGCGCTCGTGCCCCCGCATGCACTGAGGCCTGTTCTCAGCTGCCAGAAGCTGAGTGGGGTGCTGGGTCCTGAGAATGGACCGTGCATGGTCCTGGTCTTTGGGAAGTCCGTGGCTTACGGAGGGAAGAGATGCACAAGCATACATCTGCAAGCCTGTGAGATTATAGCTGGGGGGTCCACAAGATGTTCTGTTTCAGGGCCTTGCTGGAGGGACCAGAAGGGCTGTTAGACTCATGGATCTGGTTCATTCTGGTGAAAAGACTCACTTTAAAGTCAGCCACAGGAACAAGTCTACAGGGCAGGGCTCAGGAGACAGGAGGTGTGAGCTCCAGCTGTCCCCTCCCGGCAGAGTCATGCAGACTGTGCTGAATTTTCCCAGCAGCATGGTGCGACACCAAGCGTGAAGTCCTGCCACCAGGGGTGCGCCCCCAGCCTTGGTGGATCGAGCTCTGTAGGGTCGTGATCTTGTAGACATGGCTGACCTCTTCTGTGGCTGCCCTGAAATCATGCTGTTAGCAGGGACAACAGCGCATGGCCCAAACCCCCTCAGGCACACAGAGAATCGCTTACTGGGCAAGTCGTGCCAGGGCCCCGCAGCCAGGGGCAAGGGGCCAAACTTTTTTCAGGCATGGTGGATCCTTGGTTGTACACATGCTGATCAGGAAGATTTTAAGATGAACAGTGGTGACTCAAGGGATGGAGTTTAACTCTACCTGATGCTATAGGGTTTGTCTTTTTTTCCCTCTTGCTGAGGGCCATGAAGAGCTATAGAAGGGTCTGAGGATAGGGAGTGGCCTGTCAGACATGGAACCACTCTGGTGGTCAGTAAGGAAAGGCATGGAGGTGGGGAGATGCATCAGAAGGCACAGAATGTGGGGTCCCTGATTCAAGGCAAAGGCTAGGGAGGTGTAGAGGAGGGGACAGGTTTTAGGGGGGCAAAGGAGTCAGTCACAACTAGGCAGTAAATGCCAGGACGGTGGGCGTCACCCTGGCTTTGGCTCACCCTGGTCCCCAGGCTCTAACACAATGCATGGCATATGGGACGTGCTCCATAAATTTTTGTCCCATGAATGAACAGGAATTTGGTGACTGGCTAAAGAGGAGGGCCCTGGACAAATCTTGTCACTGTGGTGTCTCACCGTTCTTTTTCTTCTCCACTCACCTCCCAGGGAGCCCTGGTTTGGACACCATCGCAGACCCCTTCAGCTGGAGCTGGCTCCCTGGCCTGGGTAGAGATCGAGATGCTTGGCTCCCGGGAGAACTGGCCACCAAGCCCTCTGCAAGTCTAACCTCTAGTGTTCCCGAAAAAACAACCACTAAGGCCCCAGGGAAAACCCCCAAGAGTACTAAGAAGTGGGTGACCAAAAACGCAAAGAGACCAACCACTCAGCCTCCCAGGATGCCAACCACTAAACACCCCAGAGGCCTGGGTACCCAAAGCTCCCCAGAACTAACCTCACAGACCAAAACTCTGACCACTGAAGCTTCCCCAAAACGAACCTCTGAGTTACCAAAAAGGCTGCCCACGGAGGCTCCCCACAGATGGACCTCATACCTCACCTCCAAGACAACTCCTCGGGCCCTCTGGGAATGGCCCTCAGGGACCACGACAACACTGTCCCCTCAAGGCCCTCGAGAAATGACCTCTGAGACCACCATCGAACAAATCCATCAGGCCTCCCTGGAGCCATCTGCTGAGACTCCAGCTTCCTCCCCCACGGCCAGCATCTCTAGGGAATCGGGTGAGTGGGAGGGGAAGGGAGAGGGGCACACCCGGAAGGCTGCCCCAGCTCCTGACCCGAGGGCCTTCCACCCCCAGGCCCCTTCCGGGTTCGTCTGGCCGACGGGCCCAACAGGTGTGCTGGCCGGCTAGAAGTGTGGCATGCCGGACGCTGGGGGACAGTCTGTGATGACAACTGGGACCTGCGGGATGCCACTGTGGTCTGCTGGGAACTGGGTTGTGGAAAGGTCCGCGCCCGAGTGGGCAAAACCCACTATGGCCCAGGGACCGGGCCCATCTGGTTGGATGACATGGGCTGTAAGGGCAGTGAGACCTCGCTGAGCGACTGCCCCTCAGGGGGATGGGGGAAGCACAACTGTGACCACGAGGAAGACGTGGGGCTCGCTTGCACTGGTACCAGGGGACGGGCAGGGAGGAAGCCGAGGGATGGAGTCAGAGCGGGGCAAGGGGACTGTACTGGGGTGCTTCTCTGGGGGCTGGGGTGGGGGCACTGGGGAGCTGCTCCAGCAGACTCTAGAAGGGAAGGGAGTAGTAGCAAGGACCTTTGAAGCCAGGGATCCAATCAACCACCACCTCATTTCTCCCAAGGCTACACAGATGATGACGATTATCCCTCCTGGACCTGGGACCCCACTTTGGGAGAGGATCTGGCCAAAGGGGCCACCACGGCACCAGGGCCTGGACGTGCTCTTCCATGGGGTACCACCAGGCACCCAGGGATCTCCTCCCCGGCAGCACGGCGCCCTCCAGTCACAGGTGAGGGTTTGATGGGGTGGCCGTGGGGGCCCATCAGCCGCCATTCTTCTCCCTGCCATTTGCAGACAGTCCCTTCTAAGTGAGCTTGCTCAAGCCACCACGACCCAGGCGGGCTGTCCCGGGCTCCAGAGACCCCAAGAGCCTTCCCTTCTCGAGCGCAGTGGTGGTCCTCTGCTCCCGGCCCAGGAGAGGAATCACGGCTCTGAGCGATCAGAGCAGCCTACGTTCCTCCTAAGCCACCAGGGCCACTGGGAAGTGGCTCTACCACGCCGGCCTGGGGCCCTTGATCCAGAGCCTTGCTAGGGTGGGAACCCTCCAGACCCCTCAGCCCTGGGCTGCCACGCCACCATCACTGTCGCCGCCCTAGGTCCCCCAAAGCAGGCGAAGGCAGACCTGTCCTCAAAGCTCAGGCACTGGCCTGGACCTGCGGGGACGGCTGGCGCGTGGGCTCTGTCTGCTGCTCGCCCTGGGCTTGCCCCAGCAAGGCGGACCCAAGGGCACAGCTCCGCTGCCCTGTGCCCCGCGGCCTGTTTCGTGTCCCCGTCACCTTCCCTTTCACGGCCAGCGCGGGGCCTTGACCTCCCCCAGGTCCCACGCCACGCCCACGCTTGCCTGCGCGCCTGCGCGCCTGCCTGTCTCCCGCATGGCCGCCCGCCTCTGCTCCTGCCTCACTCTGGCCGCTTCCTCCCGGGCCAGGTCACTGCCTGCACTCCTCCTTCCGCTTTCTTCCTCTTTCACTTTCCACCTCATCCCGGTCGCTCGCGGCAGTTCTCACGGGCGGAACCTTCTTTCTCCCATTTTCCTCTTGTCTCCAGTTCGCATGGTTCTGTTTGTCTCGCCTTTCCCATGTTCTCGTTTTTCTTTCCTTTCTCACCGTCCTCATCCCTGCTTCCCACTCCCGTCCCCTCACCCGCGCCTCACCCCCTCGTTGCTTGTGTCCCCCGCCATTTTCCTCTCTGCCCCGCCACGCATCTCTCCCTCCGCCGTGCCCCCCGTGGTCTCTCCAGCCCTTGTTTCCCTCCCAGGCGCCCCTGCGCCTGCCCTGCCTTTCCTCAGTGGCCCGTCTCAGTCTCCCCCATTCACCTCACGCTCCCCCTGCCCGGTGTGGGCCTCTGTGGCCCGGGGCCGCTCCGCCCGCCCCTGCCGAGAGCCGCCCCTGCGCCTCCTGCTCCGGGGCTGCGCGTCCGTTCCCGCCCTTTTCTGGCGCTCAGCACGCATGCGCACGCCGGCCCTAGTCCGGGCAGGGCGGAAAGATGGGCGCCGCGGGAGGTGCCGTGTCCCCGCCGCTATGAAGGCGGGAGAGGCGCACCGGACGGAACTGCAGTCGGTCTTGCCACCCGGGCCAGGGAGGGAGCAGGCGGCGTGACTAGGGTGGGGAGAATCAGGCCGAGTCGGGCTCAGCATCCTGGGCTTCCAGAGGCGCCGTCCTGCCCGAACGCAGTCCGCGCTCCAGAGCCTTGCCTCTTAGCGACCCAGCGCGGCCTTCCTGACCCCATGGCGCCCCCTCGTGGTGTCCCTCCAGGGAGAGGCCTGCAGCCAAATGCAGAGCTGCAAAGTGTGACACAGTCCCATGTCCTGTGCAGCCTTAATAACGGGAAGACTTTGGAAGGAGATAGGAAGCCAGCGTGCGGGCGCTGGGCTGAAATCCCAGCACTCTGGGAGGCTGAGGCAGGAGAATCGAAGTTCTGAGAATGGCACTTCGCCCACCCTGGGCAACTTAATGATTTAGCGAGACCCAACCTGTCTCAAAAAAAAGCGGGTGCGGGGGAGAGAAAGGACAGGCACGAATTCATCTCTTCAATGGCAAAGAAAAAACGACTTCGCCTCTTAGAGCCCTGTTTCTTCCTCCGGGAAAGACCTCTGCTCCAGAGGTGCTGAGAATGCTCAAGGGGAGCTCGCGTACTCTCGATGGCGCCATTCTGGCGACCCGGTGACACGGGTCCTCTAGCTAACACCGTGTTTCCGGTGATGGGATAAGTGACCTCAAGGAAATTATTTCTGACTCAGAGGCCTTGCTGTGGATCCGGTTTACACACTCGTGCACCCTGCCCTGGGGTGGGAAAGGGGTGGGTTCTGGGGTCCGGGTCCCCTGCAGGTTCCATTATGGGTTCCGGGGACTGGAACTGCTGGAAGGCTACAGGTCTCCTCCAACAGCAAAAGCACTGGTTGTTGGAGTCACTTCATGAAAATGAGCAACGGCTTCAGGGTTCAGGCAGGAGTGGTTATTTACAGCCGAGAAATCAAGCAAAACCTCCAGGGCGGTGGTAGGACTTCAGCAGCAGAGGACAGTGGGAAGGATTTATGAGGTACAGTCTTAAAAATGGTGTATGATTTAATTTAAAAAATTACAGTAAAAGACATTGCCTCGAATTCCCTTCAAAACCCTCCCCTCAAGGGGCGCGGTGGCGCACGCCTGTCATCCCCGTGCTTGGGAGGCTGAGACAGGAGGATCCTCATGAGTTCGAGGCCAGCCTGGGCTCCATAGTGAGTTCAAGGTCAACCTGTACTATCTAGCCAGACTCTCTCTCTCAAAACAAAACAAAACAAAATGAAAATTCCTCCCCTCACTCAAACACGATCCCATCATCCTTGCCGCTTCCTGGAGCAGCTCTGGAGTGCACTCTCCTGAGTGTCTTCAGTTGCGCTGTGCTAATGTCCTGAGTTGATTCTAAATGTTTCCCATTTGTGGTCACTTTGACTTTGGGGAAGAGCCGGCAATCACACGGTGCCAGATGCGGTCCGCAAGGTGGATGAGGACAAAGGGGCCTGTTTTTATAAGCCTGCCTTCCAGTTGGATGGTACCTGGCAGCCACATTCACCATATTTTTTATTGTACCCCATGAGGACCCTCAGGAAAGAGGACTTGCCTAGCTGCCGCAGAAAGGGACGAGAACGATGGGGCAGTGTGTCCGAAGTGAGGGAAGTATTTTTAGGGGCAATATCCATGGCAATGTGTCTTTCACTGTAATAATTTTTTAAGAATTTGGAATTCACCATATTTTTCTATCACCCCTTTATACAGAATCAGTTTAGGCCCCCTGGAGAACCCAAGGTCGCTCTTGCCATCTCAGGTCACACACTGAGGTTATGCATCTGAGGGTGCAAGGTCTGAGGAGTGGGGTGCTATTCCGAGTGCCTGGGGCAGTGCTTAACATTCAGGAGAGACTCACTTGTTTGTTGAATGAATGAGTGAATGAAGAAGTGGAAGCAGGAGGTCCAGAGAGCATGCAGGAGACAAACCGAAGGCCTAAGGAGGTTGCATTTTCACTTTTCAATTCTTCAAACAACATTTCTTGAGACCTCCGAGAGCGCTGCACCTGGAGACGCACTGATATCAGCTCAGGCCAGTGTGGACGGCGTGGCAGCCACCACTGGACACAGCTGTGAGGACCGAGGGCTGCCCGCGCCCGGGAGAGGGTGGGCAGGAGCTCAAGAGGAGCAGCAGGGTGGCCGCGCAGATCCCCACCACAGCAGACATGGCGCTGGCAAAGACCCCAGGGCAGGAGCGGGCGTCCTCAGGTCCTGTGGTAGGAGCTGAGCCTATGGGGCACCACGGGTTAGGTGGGGGTGCGGACGGAAAGTTGGAGACAGAGACCCAGCAGCCACAGCAGCAGAGCACTGCAGGCAGAAGCACAGCACGTGGGGACCTCAGGAGGCGGCAGTGGTGCCGGGGGCTCAGAGGGGCGGGCAGAGGCAAAGCTGGGGGTGCTTCACGACCGCAGGCATAGCCTAGGCAGGGGTTTTGCAGAATCACACAGTTCTGCTGTGTGAGGTCTCACACAGGAGAGGGTCCGAGGTTAAGTGGGAGGTTGAGGTTAGAGGTTGGACCATGATGATTGTTATTATTACAGTGAAGGTTTGTAGAGCCCTCTTTGTGTGTTCCTTACAGAGCAAGCAGCATGTGCAAAGGCCTGGTGTTACCCTGTTTTGAGCCAGTAACCCGGCTTAATTCACTTCCTTCCCAAGGAGCCTTGAAGTGCTGTCCTCCAGCCCACTGGAGGAGGAAACTGAGGCACGGGGAAGGAAGAACCACAAGAGGCAGAGCTACCTCTAGACTGCAGAGGGAGGCCGGGAAGGACAGGGTCAGCACTGAAGCGTCCCGGGGGCATGGAGAGGGGTGACCGACCTGAGCAGGAAGGGGAAAGCCCCGGAGCTAAGTCCTAAAGGATGAGTGAGCCGCATGGTGGTGCACTCCTGTGATCTCAGCACTCAGGAGGCTGAGGCAGGAGAGTGCTACGAGTTCAAGGCCAGGCTGGGCTACCTAGTGAGACCCTGTATCAAAAAACCACCCACTACCAAAAGAGGAAGAATCCAAGCTCACCAGGAAAGGAAGGGGTGAGGCTGGGGGAGCTGTACCTCATTTAGTTATTTACTTTTTTTTGTACTTTTTGTTTTGTTTTGATACAGGGTCTCACTATGTTTTTCTGATACTAGGAATCGAACTCAGGACCTTGCACTTGCCCGGCAGGTTCTTTTGCTGCTGAGCTAAATCTCCAGCCCCTGTACCTCGTTTAGAATGAGCGCCTGTGGCAGCCCCACCAGTAGCCATGGAGAGATTCTGGCTCCCAGCTTGCAGTGCAGCACAAGGAGCTCACTGGTGCTGTTTTTTCTTTATTTTTAGTACTGGAGGTTAAGCCAGGACCTTTACTCTGAGCTATGTCTCCAGCCCTTTGGTTTTTACTTTGAGACAAGGTGTCACAGAATCACTAAGTCACTCAAGTGGGGCTCAAACTTGTGATGCTACTGCCTCAGGCTCCTAGGGTGCTGGGAGGACAGGCATGTGCCCCCACCCCCGCCTCAGAGCTGTATGTATGACCACAAACACCAGCAGGAGCCCAAGTGTCCGCCCAGCCCACGGGCGTGCAGATAAACCCCGGGGGTGCTCACAGTGGGTGTGCTGTGGAGGTGAGTGAGGAGGGGCGGAGTCACAGGTCCTCAACACAGAGAGCGCACCAGCCCTGCACCCCAGGACCCAGCTGCCAGAGTGAGACCCATTTCCCAGACCGGGCGCGGGGGAGGTGGCTGGGTCTCAGAGAAGCTCCTACCTTGACCAGCCTGGCTAGGACAGAGCCAGTAGGATGTAGGGACTTAATGAAGCCCGATCTCAAAATAAAAAGTAAAAAAAGGGCTGGGGATACAGCTCGGTGGGAAGGCCCTGGGTCCAGTCCCCAGTACTGGAAAAAATTTGAAAAGAAAAGAAAGTCGGGGACAGAGACAGGCCACTAGCACACAGCAGGCTCTGAGAGTGGGTTCTGAAGACACAGCAAGTGGGCTGACATTTACCAGGCAGCCGCGGGAAGTTTGACTCTTCGTGGGGCCCTCCGGAAACCAGCGCCGTGGAAAGATCTGCAGTGATTCGCCGCCGATAGGCTTCTTCCCCTCACCTTTTTTCCTTCTTTCATGGCACTAGGGGTGGAAAATGTCCCCCGCTCTCTGCCTCTCTTTCATTTTGACGCAGTGCTTTGTTTTGTTTTGTTTTTGAGACAGGGTCTCGCTATGCAGTTCAGGCTGGCCTTGAGCTCACTTTGTAGCCCAGGCTGGCCTCAAACTTGCAACGATCCTCCTGCCTCAGTCTCCTGAGTGCTGGAATTACAGACATATGCCACCGCGCCCAGCATTGACACAGTGTCTTGCTCTGTGTTTCAGGCTGGTCTTGAACTCAAAGCAATTCTGCCTCAGCCTCCTGAGTGGTGGGACTACTGGCGTGTGCCACCACACCCAGCCTTGTTCTCGATTTTGACTGTGTGGCTGTCGTACAACCTTGTGAATATACTAGAAACTACTGGATTACATACTTTCGGGCGGTGAACAGGATGTGAATGAAAAGCTCCAGAAAGCTCTTGTTAAAATAAGCTCGTTGGTCAACAAAGCTAGAAGGGTGAATTCTCCTTCTAGTCTCCCTAAATAATATGGTGGATATACAGCTAGATCAAATAAGTTTAGATGTTACGTGAAGTTATTCTACAGAGATGACCCAAGTGTATTCAGCCAAAATAATACAAAAAAAAAAAAAGGTGTTACAGAACTATTTCGAGCTGTTCATTAATAAAGATAAAATAGAATTTTCTTCCCCAGGAAAAGGAGAAGGAAGAACAGGGTCAGGTCACGGGGAGCTGAAATAATAGATAATTTTGTTTGTTTTGTTTGGTTTTTGAGACGGCCTTGCTGTTAGTTCCGGCTGGCCTTGAACTCAGTCTGTAGCCCAAGCGGGCCACAAACCCAACGTGAACCTCCTGAGTGCTGGGACTACAGTCTTGTGCCACCACACCTGGCCTGAGCTTATTTCATGCTCTGGTTTCCAGCTCTGTCTGGGAAGCCAGGAGCACCTGGACTGACCACTACATTGCTGTTGGTCAGGGAGGAGCCGCCGGAGCGAGCGAGCCGTCTGCAGCCACCTGTACCGCCGCACGGCAGCACCAGGATGGCGTGACTCAGCCTCTTCCTTGTGTCCCTGCAGGTGGCCAGGATGGTTACAAACTTTCCGGGACATGGGACACGCCTTTGGACAGGAGCCCGGTCAAGGGGACGCCCACCACAGCCAGGCCAGCACCCACCCCTTTCAGTGGCACTACCAGGCACCCAGGACACCCCTCTCCGGCTCCCAGGGCCCGGGGGGACACAGGTGAGCAGGCGGCCTAGGGAGTTGTGCCTCGGGGTGGACTCTTAGAAGCCCTGACCTGGACAAGGTGGCATCAAGGCTAGCGGTGCCCCACGGGGCATCTGGCAGTGCTGGATGTGGTGACTGGAAGTGGTAGAGGCCACAGATGGTGTCCAACAACCTGCAGTGTGCAGGATATGTTCACAGCAAGGCCTGAGGTGTTCGCAGGGCAAGGCTGGGAGACCTTCACACAGACTTTGCCAGTTACCCCTGCAAGGAAGGAAATGATAGGAAATCTGCAGAGTGAGCCCAGACACCAACATGGTGTCCGTGCCTACATGGCCAAGGTGCCTGCATGGCCCAGGGTGTGTATAAGTGTCATCCCTGCACTCCAGCAGGCTGAGGCAGGAGGATCACTAGTTCAAGCCAACCCTGGGCAGTTTAATGTCTTAGCAATACTCTGTCTCAAAATAAAAAATAAAAAACGTTTGGGGATGTAGCCCAGTGCAAAGGCCCTGAGTTCATTCCGCAGTACCAAAAAAAAGTGTATCTTGATTTTTGAGATTGCCGTTTAATAATCTCATATCTCCCTGCTTCCGGTATTTCTGTACCCCAAGGCGGCCCCCACCATCCTCCTACATCCCCCCACATCCCCAGCCGGCTGATTGCCGCCCCCTCCCTCCTGTATCCCTGGCACCCTCACCCGGTCTCCCGCGTCCAGTGGGTCCCTGCACCTGCACCTGCGCACCGCAGAGGACGCCAGGTGGCGCCCGGAGCCTCGCAGGCGGCGGGAGGAGGGGCCTTAGGGCTGGGTGAAGTCTGCTGGTGACCTGTGACGTCCTGAGCCCTGCGACCTCCTATTGGCCAGTCTCCCGGGGGCGGGGAGGTGGGCGAGGCAGTGGGCGGGGCGGGCTGACCTTAGGCGGACTGTGTCCCCCTCCTCCCCCAGGTTCCCCGCGGAGGCCGGGGCCCGACCATCGCCTGCTGCGGCCCACTGCAGCCCGGGCAGCGCCTCCCACGCGGCGCCCGGCCCCCTCCGCCTCGCCTGGGCCGCCGCTGACCTCTGACTCAACCTCTGTCCCTCCGGGCACCTCGGCGCCCACCCCGGACCTGCCCTCCTCGACCACGCCCGACCTCGCTCCCGCACCGACCTCACTGCCCACTGCGCCCCAGGAGCTGACGTCTGAGCCCTCTGCACCGCCAGAGGGGACCCCGGGATCTGACACAACACCAGATTTGGGCACAGCCACAGGAACTTCTGGATCCCCAGAGCGCTCCACGAGCCCGCACCCCACTACTGCCTCATACTCCACCACCGCCCCGAACCCCACCACCGCCCCGATCCCCACCACCGCCCAGTACCTCACCACAACCCCGCTCCCCACCACAACCCCGCTCCCCACCACAACCCCGCTCCCCGCCACAAGCCCCCACCACACCACTCCTCCTCCTCCTACCATCTCTGACCCCACCCGGCCTCCCAACCCCTCCTCCAGCCCTGTCATCACCACTCAGTCTCTTGCGACCTCCCCAGGGACAGAGTTCCCCTCCTCCACCCCAGCACCGAGGGTTATGCCCAGCCTGCACCCCCAGGTGACCTCTAAGGGGGCCCCTCACACCCCCACATCTCAGATGTGGAGCCCAGCGCCCTCTCCGGCCTCAGAGGCCAGCCCCTCCAGGTTTCCTCCAGCCTCAAGCACGGATCCACTGTCCACTAAGGACTTCAGGACCCCCAGGAGCCAGAACCCCACACTAACCCCACCACAGACCCAGACCCCGGCCCCAGCCTCCAGCCCCACTGTGATCTCTGACCTCCCCCTCCCACCCACATCCCATCCCTTGGATCAACCTCCCCTTGACCACCTCCCCTTAGGGCCAAGTCCTGGTCAGACCCTGGACCCCCTTGGCCCCTGTGCCTCCCCAGCACCCCCTATGAGGGTCATGGCTTGTGAGCCGCCTGCCTTGGTGGAGCTGGTGGCTGCTGTGAGAGACATTGGTGGCCAGCTGCAGAGGCTGACCTGGGTCCTGGAACAAGACCTGCAGGAACGCCAAGCCCTGGGGCTAGGGCTGGCCCAGCTGGTAGAGGCTGCCCAGGGCCTGGGGCAACTGGGTGAGACCGTAAAGAGACTGGCAGAAGTGGCCTGGCCCCCCAGCACACCTATACCCACCACCACCACCCCAGAGGAGGAGGAGAGACCTCTGAGGGGAGATGTATGACCCTCTCCAAGATGTGGGAGTTTAAGCTCCTCTCAGACAAACCAAAGAAAATCATAGTATCTAACTAAAAATAGGTGTAAATGACATTTTTGAGGGATAGGGGAACCCAAGAGAGATGGAATCACAAGATTGATTTGGATTCGTGAAAACCACAGGTGCCAAACATGGTGGTCGTGGTGGTGGTGTTGTTCATGATGGTGGCAGTGGTAAGATGGAGATGATAATGGTGATGGTGGTAATGGCAGTGATGATGGTAGTGGTGGTGATGATGGTGGTGATGGAAATGGCGGTGGTAGTGATCATAATAGCAATGGTAGTGATGATGGTGATGGTGGTGATGATGGTGATGGTGGTGGTGGTGATGGTGGTGATGATGG